GTTATTGTCGACCGAGACAACCCGGGCGGGCAGATTGGGTTTTAATCCACTGCCCATCTCTGCACCTTACGACAGATCCGCGGTATTGTTATTAACCGATTTTTAGGTTTCTGTTGTTCAATCGCAACTGGCGTTAAGAAGGTGGGTTCCTATTATATAACTACGTGCACTAGCATGCAAAACTCAAATTAGCTACAGGTGTCAGATACGCAGAATTATCCAATACTAGTTACGTGTGAGAATTGCACTATCCCCGACGTTATGTTTTATGACTATGCTCGGTTTTAGTTTCGTGCCTTTTCCGCGTAGACGGTGGCGCCATTTGTGTATGGATCGTTTCAGTGACGCGACGTAGCACAAAGACGAAAGTTCGAAAGACGCTCACGATTACCAAACACCGCTAATCGTGGCGTTTTGTTGCGTTTGTTGTATCTGTGTCTGGTTGAAAGAAAAATACCGTGAAAACTTTTGAATTTTGGTTCGTGAGTTTGCCATAAAGCATACCAAAACGATTTTTTATCTCGCAATCGAAGTTTTCGTCTTATCGTATCGATGCCATACATTATACTATCAATCGAAGTGACAAGTAAAATTTTGACCTCAAGACTAAAAGCCAATATACACGCTCGGACTAATAGACACACTCACTAAACCTCGGATGGCTAACCACCTCGGGAATACAATGTGTTGATATGCATTCTCACCATATTTACAGAGGTCATTCTATATCCGAAACTGAACCCAAATCACTAAAAAAATAAATATTAAGAAAATCCTAAATTCTTATTTTTTGTTTAATTACGGTAAACAAGTTTGATCCAAAGGTCATTCATTGGCTTGCACTACACGTGTCACAGGTACCGACAACCATTTGAACAGAAAATATGCATTTTAGATCTATTTGGTGGCAGGGTACGAGTAGAGACGGGGGAATATCGTATCGAGCGCGTGATTGGTAGATCATCAGTCGACATCGCGCAAACGTTCTAGTTTCTCACGAAATGCAACATGGTTTGTGTGTGATGTACAAACAAGAGTTAGTACAAAAAAAAACGCTACCATGTGTATTAAACTTGTGCCTGATCGGTCCTTAGCGGGTGCGATCCTAGTTAGTTCAATCAGTCAACTGAATTAGGTCGGTCTTCTTCATTTTGTTCATCTAGCTCGTTAGTTAGTTAGCTCGTCTTGTCCTTGCTCGGACATTGAATTAACGCTCCAAACTAGTAATTTTATTCACGTGAACTACTACGAACTTCTAGTATTATGAGGTTAATTCTAGACTGTACCATATATTTAAAAATACAATTTGTATGGAATAGGTACTATTTGATTTTACTTTATATTTTACAAGTTTAAAGACTGTCAATCTAACTAAAAATCCTTTTTTTACAAAAAAAGAATTTTAGCTGGAATGGTGTGTTTAAAACTCAATATTTAGGTACGTACAACTATTTCATATACTCGTACACGTAGGTTGATATTATACATACAGATACCTACCAAAAAAATATTCCTTTTTTGCAAGCTTGTATATATACATAATGTAGATACGTATTAGAGACTTAGAACGAGCTGGGAACGTTCAATGCATCCCACTCGAACTTGTACTAAAAATGTGAAAGATCGCTATTTGTCCCGCTCGCACCTTTCCTATTGTATAAGACAGGTGAACTATCAACGCACACAGATCCTAGTTCGTACTTAACTAAAAAGAACGAAGAACTATTAAAACCGTGCAAGACGAACGAGTTCATGTCCGTCAATGTAGGAAATATATTCCTAATAGTTCGTAGTTCATGAACTATAGAAGCCTAATATGTATTACCATCAAGTGGGTTCTTATGGTATGATCTGAAACGTTTAGTTTACGCAGATTACGAGTGTCGAAGAATTGCGCGCAAAAATCGTCTCTGGTTTCTTTCTGCTTTTTCTGTTGTAAAGAATGTCCTAATTGAAACGAAACCTCATATCTGTGGCTGGCTCCGGTACGGAGCCGGCCACCAGCTGTGGAGTTAGATACTTCTAGCATTACTTTCATGTAACCTAAAGTTGGTAAGTACCAAATCTAAGTTACAAAAAAATATTTTTTGAGTCAACTTTTCTAAGTACTTAATGTAAATAATTAGTAAATTATAACAATACTAGTACATACATAAACATGATTTAAAAAAATAGGTAAATAAGCGATGGAGAAAGATTACGTATCGCTCGGTGAAGCCAGTGGCGGGGTCACTGTCCTCTGCGGTGAACACACTTGGGGGACAATTTTACAAAACTTTACTAGATACATTTTAAATTCGTATTGAATTGATCATTGATATTCAATTTTTTTGTGAAATTATTCCACTACTGAATATTGAACAGAATATTTATTTAATATTTTTAGATGATTTAGCATTATTTCTATTATTAATTTCTTAAATATGGCGAGAATGCAAATCAACACCGTGTATATTGGCTAATTTTTATATTTCGGTAAAATAGTACGTTGTGTATTATGGGCGGTAAATAAGAAATTACTAACGAGTCTATTAGAATTCTTCAATGACTCGAGATTTGAATTTTTTTTATGGCCCATGCTACACACAACGTTTTTCATCAGATTTGCGAGGAAATAAATATGATGATAATTTAATTCTTGTACGAATAAATATCGCTTCACGACAATTACAGATTTTGCAAACGGATCTTTTGTTTTTTCTTTTAATTTAGATGGCCAACTGTTCTTCCATAGATAATAACAATTCACACTAAAATGTTGTGAACGCCAAAAACGAAAAGATATAAAATAAATTATTTCAAAATACTAAGAATGCAGCAGAATTTGAATTTATTAATTTAGCAAATGTTGAATTTCTTTTCTATCCTTCAAGCCTAAACGAAATAATCCAGATTTTTCGAGCATTAAACTTTTTGCTAATGTAATGAAAAAGCCCGTGAGCGTAATTCACATTACAGCCGACTTTGCCTGCACTGTTTACGAGCAAGTGTGATGAAAATTGGTGCCAATATCTCGAAAGTTACTAAAATACAAATGCGTTAGTTATAACAAGGAGGGCAGATTTTGCAAACAGAAGGCGGTAACGAGTTCACCCGCTCTAAGTGTTTTTTTAACAACGTATGTAATTGTGACCAATATGGTGCACCGCATACTGAAGGTTCCGTTCCGGCCGCTTCGGATCGGTCAATGTATGGAATTCAATGCAAAGAAGGAGGAAACGCATGACTGCCGTTTGCGGAATCACTTAAGAGGAATCAAAATTATAAATTACTATGTTAAGTGTAAAATTACCTTTATTGTATGATCAGACAATAAACCACATTGGTATTCCTTGTATTTGGTAATCAGCTCGGGTCAAATATGCTATGTATTGCATTCACTCTCGTAAATTGGAATGTTAAATTAATCTATAGCCAAGCTGGAGACAAATGTTTTGTTGGAAAAATCGTTATACCCAGGACTCGAACAAAATGTTGAAAAAACTTTTGCTGAGAAAAAAAAATTATCTCTAAATTATTTTATGATTAATTGTTACTGATACGTCGTCAAACTGAAAATGGACTGAATTAATTGTTAATAATCAACCAACATTGAATTACGCTATACTAATTTAATTCATAAATATTCCTAAATCTTTTTAGTTTTTACACAAGATTTTTATTGAACCCAGAACTTTCAGTAGGGGAGAACTAATGAACCATGTCCAACATCAATTTACATCACAAATTTTTATACACAGAATTTGAAGAGAATCTTGAATTTATCACTCTATTAATATTTCGGGGCATTGTCTTTTCGGCGTCGTCTCATCTTCGACTGGATCTTTCCGCTTAAGTGCTTTCGTCTCGGTGTCTACTGATGTTTCTTTCCCGTCAGTCTTTTGTTTTGTGTCCTGTAATCTAGCTTCGTCATTTATATAATGTGTTTTGTCCTCGCCGTCGGCGTTCTTATCTCCAGGCCCGTCAACATCATCAGTTGTACTGCACACTTCATCGACCGGTTTGTCAAGAAATTCGATCTCACTAGTGGCAGCTTCTAGCCTTTCAGCTGCCTTCTGGGAGGTAGTATTCTGCGTACAAGTGCTTGGTGGCTTACTTACTGCAATTCGCTGAGTGAGCGCTCTGTGTAACTGCACTATATCACCTGGGACTCCCTGAAATGAAAAACAATTGCTCAATATTTCTTCCTAATTACATTCACAATTATAATTATATAATATCGGTCCTGCAGGTCGGTTCAGAACCTTACGATAACTCTGTTGTCGACCGATTCGATTAGATATCGTACCATTTCTTTTCATTTTTATTCACAATAACCGAACAATTCGGTTAAGATATGGAAGAGTTCTGAATCGGGGTTCTGATCGTGGTTGGTTCAACAGGTGTCCATTGCCATCCAGGGAAGTAATGCTGCCAGTATAATGGGAATTTTTGAGCCATGCACGTCGAGGACGAGATTTTTTTTACGTTGATGAAAAATTTTTTATGACATCTCATAAATTCATTTCTGACTTTTATCTTCGGATTCATACAGTATCTATTGACGAAGTCTAGTGCTAATCTTGAAGTTATCTGTTTTTCTTAAATAATAATTACAAATCTATGATCCAAGTTTTCAATGATTTAATCTTACACAGTACCAACCTTTTGACTACCACTGACAAAAACTGTTTTGTTTCCTAGTTGCCAAGTGTAGTAACGTGACATGTTATGAATTTTAACCTTATATTAATTCAATTCTCCTAAGTTAAAGAAAAACATAACTGAACATAAAATGCAACTATGAATCCATACTTAACAAGAATATACAAATAACACATGGTTTCATTGACGCTTTGAAGCGTCAAAAAGCTAAGCACGAATTTCTACTTGGCGTTGCGCTGTAAACTAATTGCTCGGGCTCACCTAAAAAAAACCATAATAGTAACAAAAGTTATGCATTATTGATACAAAGATCCAACAAACACAAAGAAAAATTCTGGACTCAAACCAGCGACTATTTCGCCAAACCGGAGCTTTGCTTTCTTTATGTTTGTATATATTATACACACAACAAACAGTACAACAAAGTAGTGAAGTATTTTCCGACAAAAAAAGGATATAGCAAAAGTTATGCACCTACCATAATAAGAAAAAGTTTGATCTGCTGTTGGGCGTCAGCAGCCGTTATACGCAGGGATTTCGTTCCAGCGCGTTGCACAACCATATCGGGCCATAGCTTAGTATTGAGCACGACACGCAACGACCCGGCGACGCGTGCTACCAACCGCGCCGCGCCGCCGCTGCCGGGTTCAGCGTCGTTAAGTCGAAGTACACCGCGCCCTCGCTCCCGCCAACTACCAGTCTCCCACGCGAAGAGTCGACATGATATCTAGATATTCAACACAAAAGATGAATTACACAGGATAGCAAAATAATCTCGGTGTTTTTATTCAATAATACACACGTCGATGTATGGAACATTGATGAAGCGCGATAAACACTCTCCAAAATATGTAGGTACACAATTTTAATAACAATTGAATTGAGGTTAACAAAATGGAGCCACTGATAAAAATGAACAAACACAATTTTTAGTAACAGCAACACAAGTCTACTTAAGTTACAGTATATTCTGATTATTATTATTAAACCTTTTTAGCTGAGGTCTACATTTTACATTACATTTTTAATATTTACTGACGCCTGTAAGTAATTCAGATCTTTCCATTACACAATGCAAAGAGTTCAGCACTAATTGCAGCATTTGTAATTCTTGTTTCGGGTTCACGTCATTATATTGTTAACACATTCTCACTATCTAGATAAATTCTATGTGTTACATCAAATTAATATAAACTTTTATTTCATAGGTAAATAAATTACTCTTGAAATTGTCACATTAATTAAACTGTACTACTCATTCATAAAGCAGGATTCACCTGAGAAGAATATGTAAGAACTCTAGGGGTTATTCTTTGTAAATAAACATTTGTACACATTTATCATTTATAATATTCATTCCAAATATGATCAAGACGACCTACAAAAGCTAAATGGGTCACTACTGGATTTTTATCATCAAAGTATGCAAAAGCTCTTTACACCTTTAGTGTAAAATTTTTGTTTCACTATGGTTTTAAACCTCGAAAATCGCAAATTTTTTAAACATTAATGTCAACAAAAGTTCAAATTGAATCTTAGCCATGTTGAGGAAATTTTCGCTGTGTCAAATTTTGAATATGTAGAAGTACTGTACCTGTAAAACATTGATCTCCCCCTCTTCACCAGTGATATTGTAGTTGGTGGTCGGAGGGGGAGGTCGTGCGTGGGACCGTTCATATTCAGCCGCGGCCGCCGCAAGGCCCTCGCCGCTGCTACTACTTTGAGCCTCGCTTGGGCCAGGCTCTTCCTAAAACGAAAACCATTATTGGTTAAGAGGGTGCAATAGTGCCCTGACAGTTTTAATAAAACTGATAAAACAACAGCAATCTCAAGCTAATAAAAATGTTGAAAACAGGAAGAATGCATTCAGTTACATGCTGAAACAAATCTAATCAACATACAATGAGAGGAATGCATAGTACCAACAAGAGCATAACTCTTGAATCTAAATGAGAAAAAGAAAGAAATGTCTTACCTGGTTACTATCTTTTACAGACGCAGCAGCACTAGTGAACAACAATTCAGTGGTTCCATTAGTAGAACTATGATCAAGAGGTGCAGCTTCTCCATTGTTCATGTTTTGCTGCATAACAACTCTCTCACTCAAATTCTGTCCAAAGACAAACCCTGATGAAGAGTTACTTGTTGCAGGTTGAGCAGTGGCAGGAGCTGGAGCCGTTGTTCTTGGTGTCACATTAGCAGACCCTAGTGGAACAAACTTTGGAGCCTCGGCATCTTCTTTATCATTCAGCCTGTCATCAGCTGGAGTTTCTGTTTCATCCTCATCAACTTTCTCGTCTTTCTCTTCAGTAACTTTGAGGAATGGATTAGTGCCAGGTTTCAGTTGGGATGGGCGCAATACTGAGCCTGAAATAATATATCATAGTTATAGAATTGTAGTTTCACTATATCTGTTAGACATGTGTAAGTAATGTGAGTAATATTACAAAGGTGATATCACGCGACAGGGTACTGTTATATCACGCATCACTTCGGAAAAATATGCATTACTCATAACATTACCCATTACATAGACCATGTCGGGGTGCTCTGGGAGTTTCCCAAAATGAACTAAATATAGTAAATATCTATATTAATAGCGCCACCCAGCAAATTTTCGACGTACTACTTGATCGGACATTGCTAACCGTGCCGTAGGGTTACGTAGCGCTGCTGCCAGGTGTCGCTACTAACACCCATTACGCGAAACAGTACTCGGCGTGATGCAATACTGTGATGCTATGATGCAATGTAATGCTAACATCACGCGTGATGTTCTCATTACGCGTGATGTTAGCATTACGCGTGATGTTAGCATTACGCGTGATGTTAGCATCACGGAGTGATGTTAGCATTACACATTACCCGCGTGATGCATCGCTCGGAAACAGTACGCGCGTGATGCATTACCCGAAACATTACCCGCGTGATATTACCTGAAACAGTACACGTGATGCTTATATTACGCGTGATGCTTAGAACATCACGGAGTGATGTTTGTTTAATACTATTATGCGAAATGCAATGTAAATGCATCTAATTTGGAATATTGCAGTAGAACGATGTTTGTATTAATACCCCAATTATTTCATAATTTACTAAATGGTGTAAAAGGATGGAACCGTAGACAATTTAAAATGAAATTGCATAATTTGTTAATCAGTGCTTGTGCTTGGTTAAATATATTTCGATCTTTCTTGGTAATCTAGAAGGAGATGGATACGCTTTCATACAATCAATCCAAGATGTAAAAACATGAAGGTAGTATCAGTTAATTGCGTAGGTATTGATGTACCATCACTGAAAATTCTGCGAATTGAACTGAAAGCAGAGCTATAAGAGATTTAGTAAAAGTGAGGTTATGTAACAACTTATAATTAACGTCTGATTTTTGGAGTGCATTTGTTATTTTACAACTTACTAGATGGTGTAAACGAATTAACAGTAGACATTTAAAATGAAATTGCATAACTTGTTAATCATTGCTTGATTACGTGGCAATTTATAATGTAAAATTTAACCAGGGTGAGTGTGGGTTGCCAGACGGTTCGTAATATTTCGTAATTTTTGTTTGATTCTCTCTAGTAATATGTAAGTAGATCTTGTTTATAATGCAAGTTTATGTTCTAGAAATGCGTTTTAAAACAACCTATAAAACGCATTTCTAGAACATAAACTTGCATTATAAACAAGATCTACTTACATATTACTAGAGAGAATCAAACAAAAATTACGAAATATTACGAACCGTCTGGCAACCCACACTCACCCTGGTTAAATTTTACATTATAAATTGCCACGTAATCAAGCAATGATTAACAAGTTATGCAATTTCATTTTAAATGTCTACTGTTAATTCGTTTACACCATCTAGTAAGTTGTAAAATAACAAATGCACTCCAAAAATCAGACGTTAATTATAAGTTGTTACATAACCTCACTTTTACTAAATCTCTTATAGCTCTGCTTTCAGTTCAATTCGCAGAATTTTCAGTGATGGTACATCAATACCTACGCAATTAACTGATACTACCTTCATGTTTTTACATCTTGGATTGATTGTATGAAAGCGTATCCATCTCCTTCTAGATTACCAAGAAAGATCGAAATATATTTAACCAAGCACAAGCACTGATTAACAAATTATGCAATTTCATTTTAAATTGTCTACGGTTCCATCCTTTTACACCATTTAGTAAATTATGAAATAATTGGGGTATTAATACAAACATCGTTCTACTGCAATATTCCAAATTAGATGCATTTACATTGCATTTCGCATAATAGTATTAAACAAACATCACTCCGTGATGTTCTAAGCATCACGCGTAATATAAGCATCACGTGTACTGTTTCAGGTAATATCACGCGGGTAATGTTTCGGGTAATGCATCACGCGCGTACTGTTTCCGAGCGATGCATCACGCGGGTAATGTGTAATGCTAACATCACTCCGTGATGCTAACATCACGCGTAATGCTAACATCACGCGTAATGCTAACATCACGCGTAATGAGAACATCACGCGTGATGTTAGCATTACATTGCATCATAGCATCACAGTATTGCATCACGCCGAGTACTGTTTCGCGTAATGGGTGTTAGTAGCGACACCTGGCAGCAGCGCTACGTAACCCTACGGCACGGTTAGCAATGTCCGATCAAGTAGTACGTCGAAAATTTGCTGGGTGGCGCTATTAATATAGATATTTACTATATTTAGTTCATTTTGGGAAACTCCCAGAGCACCCCGACATGGTCTATGTAATGGGTAATGTTATGAGTAATGCATATTTTTCCGAAGTGATGCGTGATATAACAGTACCCTGTCGCGTGATATCACCTTTGTAATATTACTCACATTACTTACACATGTCTAACAGATATAGTGAAACTACAATTCTATAACTATGATATATTATTTCAGGCTCAGTATTGCGCCCATCCCAACTGAAACCTGGCACTAATCCATTCCTCAAAGTTACTGAAGAGAAAGACGAGAAAGTTGATGAGGATGAAACAGAAACTCCAGCTGATGACAGGCTGAATGATAAAGAAGATGCCGAGGCTCCAAAGTTTGTTCCACTAGGGTCTGCTAATGTGACACCAAGAACAACGGCTCCAGCTCCTGCCACTGCTCAACCTGCAACAAGTAACTCTTCATCAGGGTTTGTCTTTGGACAGAATTTGAGTGAGAGAGTTGTTATGCAGCAAAACATGAACAATGGAGAAGCTGCACCTCTTGATCATAGTTCTACTAATGGAACCACTGAATTGTTGTTCACTAGTGCTGCTGCGTCTGTAAAAGATAGTAACCAGGTAAGACATTTCTTTCTTTTTCTCATTTAGATTCAAGAGTTATGCTCTTGTTGGTACTATGCATTCCTCTCATTGTATGTTGATTAGATTTGTTTCAGCATGTAACTGAATGCATTCTTCCTGTTTTCAACATTTTTATTAGCTTGAGATTGCTGTTGTTTTATCAGTTTTATTAAAACTGTCAGGGCACTATTGCACCCTCTTAACCAATAATGGTTTTCGTTTTAGGAAGAGCCTGGCCCAAGCGAGGCTCAAAGTAGTAGCAGCGGCGAGGGCCTTGCGGCGGCCGCGGCTGAATATGAACGGTCCCACGCACGACCTCCCCCTCCGACCACCAACTACAATATCACTGGTGAAGAGGGGGAGATCAATGTTTTACAGGTACAGTACTTCTACATATTCAAAATTTGACACAGCGAAAATTTCCTCAACATGGCTAAGATTCAATTTGAACTTTTGTTGACATTAATGTTTAAAAAATTTGCGATTTTCGAGGTTTAAAACCATAGTGAAACAAAAATTTTACACTAAAGGTGTAAAGAGCTTTTGCATACTTTGATGATAAAAATCCAGTAGTGACCCATTTAGCTTTTGTAGGTCGTCTTGATCATATTTGGAATGAATATTATAAATGATAAATGTGTACAAATGTTTATTTACAAAGAATAACCCCTAGAGTTCTTACATATTCTTCTCAGGTGAATCCTGCTTTATGAATGAGTAGTACAGTTTAATTAATGTGACAATTTCAAGAGTAATTTATTTACCTATGAAATAAAAGTTTATATTAATTTGATGTAACACATAGAATTTATCTAGATAGTGAGAATGTGTTAACAATATAATGACGTGAACCCGAAACAAGAATTACAAATGCTGCAATTAGTGCTGAACTCTTTGCATTGTGTAATGGAAAGATCTGAATTACTTACAGGCGTCAGTAAATATTAAAAATGTAATGTAAAATGTAGACCTCAGCTAAAAAGGTTTAATAATAATAATCAGAATATACTGTAACTTAAGTAGACTTGTGTTGCTGTTACTAAAAATTGTGTTTGTTCATTTTTATCAGTGGCTCCATTTTGTTAACCTCAATTCAATTGTTATTAAAATTGTGTACCTACATATTTTGGAGAGTGTTTATCGCGCTTCATCAATGTTCCATACATCGACGTGTGTATTATTGAATAAAAACACCGAGATTATTTTGCTATCCTGTGTAATTCATCTTTTGTGTTGAATATCTAGATATCATGTCGACTCTTCGCGTGGGAGACTGGTAGTTGGCGGGAGCGAGGGCGCGGTGTACTTCGACTTAACGACGCTGAACCCGGCAGCGGCGGCGCGGCGCGGTTGGTAGCACGCGTCGCCGGGTCGTTGCGTGTCGTGCTCAATACTAAGCTATGGCCCGATATGGTTGTGCAACGCGCTGGAACGAAATCCCTGCGTATAACGGCTGCTGACGCCCAACAGCAGATCAAACTTTTTCTTATTATGGTAGGTGCATAACTTTTGCTATATCCTTTTTTTGTCGGAAAATACTTCACTACTTTGTTGTACTGTTTGTTGTGTGTATAATATATACAAACATAAAGAAAGCAAAGCTCCGGTTTGGCGAAATAGTCGCTGGTTTGAGTCCAGAATTTTTCTTTGTGTTTGTTGGATCTTTGTATCAATAATGCATAACTTTTGTTACTATTATGGTTTTTTTTAGGTGAGCCCGAGCAATTAGTTTACAGCGCAACGCCAAGTAGAAATTCGTGCTTAGCTTTTTGACGCTTCAAAGCGTCAATGAAACCATGTGTTATTTGTATATTCTTGTTAAGTATGGATTCATAGTTGCATTTTATGTTCAGTTATGTTTTTCTTTAACTTAGGAGAATTGAATTAATATAAGGTTAAAATTCATAACATGTCACGTTACTACACTTGGCAACTAGGAAACAAAACAGTTTTTGTCAGTGGTAGTCAAAAGGTTGGTACTGTGTAAGATTAAATCATTGAAAACTTGGATCATAGATTTGTAATTATTATTTAAGAAAAACAGATAAC